GAGGGGGGGAGGGAGGGAGAGGGGGGTAGAGAGAGAGGGGGGTAGAGAGAGAGAGAAAGAGAGAGAGAGAGAGAGGGGGGGAGAGAAAGAGAGAGAAGAAGAAGAGAGAGAGAGAGAGAGAGAGAAGAAGAAGAGAGAGAGAGAGAGAGAGAGAGAGAGAGAGAGAGAGAGAGAGAGGAGGGAAAGAGAGAGAGGGAGAGAGAGAGAGAGAGAGAGTGGAGGGAAAGAGAGAGAGGAGGGAAAGAGAGAGTGAGAGAGAGAGAGAGAGAGAGAGAGAGAGAGAGAGAGAAATCATATATAAATCAATAGGAGAAGAGAGAGAGCAGGGAAGAGAGAGAGGGGTGATAGTGAGAGAGAGGGGGCAGAAAAGAGAGAGAGAGAGAGAGAGAGAGAGAGAGAGAGAGAGAGAGAGAGAGAGAGAGAGAGAGGGGGGGAGAGGAGAGGAGACATTGTGTGTGTGTGTGTGTGTGTGTGTGTGTGTGTGTGTGTGTGTGTGTGTGTGTGTGTGTGTGTGATTGTGTGTGTGGACCCAACTGTTACAAAAAGATAACTAAAACTGTCCAATTTACTGAAGACTTTGTTTTAATGTTCAAAATACCAGATTTCTACTCTATCTCATGAATACTATTCCTGTCATACAAACAAGAATATTCATTCATTAGACAGTCAAATACCAGAAAAAAAACGTTGTTTTATTCCGAATGGGAAAAGTATTTGTTCAAATATCAGATATATATATGCAGTTCATTTAAACTCTAATTCATTTTTTTGTCCCTAACCTATTGCAATATTGAATATCAACTTAAAATTATGTTTAGCGCAGGAATGATTTATATTACCAGTGCATTCATAAGTAGTTTAAACATTGCGCATATGACTTAATCTGCTTTGTATAGAAAAAGACTAATCTATGTAACAATTTTAAAACTCAAATATTTATCTATATTCATATGCCGGATGTTCTATTTATCAAAGTCAACACAATAGGGTTTTGCAATTGATATAAGTGGATTTCGTTTTTGGACATGATGGTGGGGTTACGGGGGAAAAAAATATGTAGTACTGTTTTTATTATATATTTATTTATGTTTCAAATGGTAATAAAAAAGGAAGAGCACTATTGAGATTATGGTAGTGGTGGTAATGGTGTTTTTAGTAGTCGTAGTAGTAGTTGTAGACTTTGTAGTAGTGATAGTATTTCAAGTTGTAATATCAACTGTGCTAATGATTTTGATAACAGCCTTTACACTAATCCAGTTATCCCAACACTGATCTTAGCATTAGCAACAATACTAATAAAGAAACAGTAATAATAACAATAAAGCAATAAGTAACAGTAATGAATCTCATTATATTTCTCCATCTTTATCACATTTTCCTTTCTTTATCATTCCAGACTCTATATACACAAGGAGCAAAGTGCTGAGTGTGGTGTTCTCGACTCTCTTCCTCCTAGCGATTTTCCACTAGCGCTGAGGGACACGAGTGCAAAGGGAAAGTGATGGAAACAAAGAGAGAAATGGAAAAAAAGAGAAAGAAAGAAAGAATGAAAACCAGTGTAATGAAAGGAAAAAAAAACAGTCTTTGTCGAGTGCTATATATAAATCAGGGAGGTAATTTAAATTTTAAGTTTTAGGAACTTGATAATGATGACAAACACATGTCAGACTTGAACACTCTGAATAGCAAAATGAGAGTGAAAAAGATATATATAAACTTCATTATGAAGAAAAATGTACGACGATACTTGGTTTCTTATTTTAAAGTAGTGAATATTCGAGAAAAAAATAATGCTTGATACTCATACTAGTCATATACATCTGGTTCAGTGAATGATGCTAAAGATAAATGGATAAAATTGAATAGAACTAAACAAAACAGGACAAAAAAATAAATAAATAAATAAATGGGGGGGAAACGAGGATCAAAGAAAAAAAATCATATGAAACAAAATGTAAATATTTTACGTCCTCCCCTGTTTGTGCACGCGCGGGTGATTGAGCGTGTGTGTGTGTGTGTGTGTGTGTGTGTGTGTGTGTGTGTGTGTGTGTGTGTGTGTGTGTGTGTGTGTGTGTGTGCGCGCGTGTGTCTGTGAGGAAGTCCAGGGCGTGTATCATTATTTTTTATTGAAAAAAAAATAAAAAACAATAGATTGTAGGAATTAAGATAGCTTTAAGGCCATTATTATTATACTATTATTTATTGTATAAAAAAGAAAGAAATTTTATCTTTTTACTATAATTATATATTCATAACTTAATGTTTAGAAAAGTCATTTTAAGTCAGATGTGTGTGGAGTCGGTAGAGAAATTGCAGACACGATTAAGACAGATCGAGAAGAAAGAAGGCAAGAACCTACTCAGCGGGTGGTTCGTTCGAAGTCACTTTCCATCAGTTTTATTTCTTGAGTTTGTCAGCCTCTCCTTATACATTGGTTGAAGGTACAAGCACACGCGCACACACACAGAGACATGCACACACACACAAACGTGTACACACA